TGACAACACTTGAAGTATAAAATTGTCTATGCAGGTTCCCGTTTTGGTATAGCCCCCATACAACGGCCTCACCCACTTAATGGTTTTTTGAAAAGTTTAACAGCATACCAGTAAGACCGACTGGTATCTGTAGTTTAAAGTAGAACACGTTTGAATTCAGATACTTTTATATTAAAATGTTTTTTTTTTACCCACAGTGCGATGGTTTTAAAAGTTCGGTCCGGCGGAACTTAATATTTTTTATACCCTCCACCATACATTATATGGAGGATATATTAAGTTCGATTATGATTATTTCGATGAGTAACAAACGGTATGTTACTCATCGAAATAATCGTTGTATCGTTTGTTCTAATCACCCTAGAGTCAATACGAATAAAGATAGGAAGCTAAAATGTTGCACAGATCAGCCTTTGGATGTAGGCAGGTCAAGTTAAACGATGGGCTATATCGATCCACGGCATCGTATAGCCCCCATACAACTGTACCCCGATATTCGGTTTTTGATGATTTTTGCCACATTTTCCAATTAAATTGTCTGAAAATTCACACAAGGAGTTCTTTCCGAGTACTTTTCCTCCTGGAAGATAATTGTTTATAAAGGTCCACAATATCGTACAGCCCCCATATAACGGTACCCACCGATATTCGGCATTTTGATGGTTTCAGCCACATTTTTTATTGGAATTGTCTAAAATCCATACTTGCAGTTCTTTTCAAGCACTTTACTTCCAGAAAGAGAAATGTCTGTATAGATCCCCGATATTCGATATTTCGACGATTTTAGTGACATTTTTCATTTTCCCGGAGTTGTTCCAAATTTCGTTCCTGGACTTCGTAATGGGTACTATAGCCTATGACAAAAATTATGTATGTAAGCCCACGTCTTTGTATAGCCTCCATACAACGGTACATCTCAATATTCCGCATTTTAATGATTTTTGCGACATTTCAAGATTCGTATTTAGACTTCGTAAAGGGAACTAAGTCTATAACAGAACATTTTCTATGCAGGTCCAATCCTTTGTATATGCCCCATATATCAGTACCTATATTATATTAAGTTTATCATTCCATTTGTAACACCTCAAAATACACCTTGTAGACCCCACAAAGTATATATATATTCTTGATCAGCATAAAATTCTATGTCGATTTAGTGATCTTCGCCCGTCTGTCCGTCTGTGAAAATAACTCTAGCTTCCGAATGAATTGAAGTAGATTGATAAAATTTTGCTCAAATGTATGTTATGTCTGCAGGACTTTTGGTGTTGAAAATGGGCCATATAGCTCCACGTTTTTATAGCCCCCACATAACGGTACCCTCCCGATATTCGGTATGTTAATGATTTTAGGGACATTTTTCACCAGAACTGTTAAAAATTTGATATTTGAAGTTCGTAATGGATACTACAGCCTACGACAGAAAATTGTCTGTACAAGTCCACGTCTTCGTATAGCCCCCATAAACCGGTACCTCCCGATATTCCGTATTTTGATTTTATCGGCATTTTAACCGTTTTTTTTTAAGTTTCGCATTTGACAAATTTTACCTAAGCAGGTTCATGCCTTAGCATAGACCCTAATATAATAGCTACATTCGGTATTTTTAAAATTTTAATAGAATTTCGTATAGACCCCAATATATAGTTGTTATATTGGGGTCTATACGAAATTCTATTAAAATTTTAAAAATACCGAATGTAGCTATTATATCGATATTTTTAAGATTTTAACAACATTTATTAGTGGATGTTATTTTTTGAAAAGTTCCAAAGTTGTTCCAAATGGTGGAGGATATTCAAGGTTCGGCCCGGCCGAACTTACAGCTTTTTCGCTGGTATTATTGGTTTACACTCCGTCCAAGTTTTTTAGCAACATTTTTAATAAGTTCTAATGTTTACACATATAGTCACGTAAGTCCGTCATATATTGATTTATTGATATTTATACAAGGAGTATAAATCTATTTCATAAAAAAGGATTATTCTAAAATCAATTCTGACTACGACAGTGTCTACATCTATTTAGAAATTTATAAAATTTAAATATAACTGAAAACCACAAAACCGCAAATAGTTGCACAAAACCTCTGCTCATGAAAATATAAACATAAACAAATTGAAGCAAGGACAATCAGTTCAACAAAGACTTTGAAGGATATCGGACATAAAAACCTCATTTTTTAACCTTTTTTCTGGAAAATTCTCACCAAAATGCTAGTGTAAATTGTAAACAATATCATGTGCTGTCAACGGAAATTTTAACAGCTGTCGGGCGAGTGGCTTAGAAATGGCAGCAGTCTGACGGTCTGACAGTTGGTTGTAGTTTTTTCATCTCACCCTGTATAAACCCCATATAACAGTTCCTCCCGATATACGGTATTTTGATGATTTATGCCACATTTTCCCACGGATTTGTCTAAAAATTGGTATTTGTAGTTCGAAATAGACTCTAGCTCACATGTGCCCACGTTTTTGTATAGCTTCCATATAATGATACCTCCCAATATTCGGTATTTTAATGATTTTTGGCACATTTTTTTCACAAGGTTTTGTATAAAAATTGGTATTTGTAGAACGAAATGGTTTCTAGCTCCGTTGGCGGGACATGTTCACGTTCCACGTTTTGGTATAGCCTCCATATTACGGTGAGTTTTGTTTTGATGATTTTGGCCAAGGTTTTCCACGGATTTGTCAAAAAATTGATATTTAGGTTTACGTTTTCCTGTAGCGCACATATAACGATACCCATCGATGCTCGGTATTTCGGTAATCCTAGTCACATTTACCCACGAAATTGTTTCAAATTTGCTATTTAAGAAGATTAGGAAGATGACAACACTTGAAGTATAAAATTGTCTATGCAGGTTCCCGTTTTGGTATAGCCCCCATACAACGGCCTCACCCACTTAATGGTTTTTTGAAAAGTTTAACAGCATACCAGTAAGACCGACTGGTATCTGTAGTTTAAAGTAGAACACGTTTGAATTCAGATACTTTTATATTAAAATGTTTTTTTTTTACCCACAGTGCGATGGTTTTAAAAGTTCGGTCCGGCGGAACTTAATATTTTTTATACCCTCCACCATACATTATATGGAGGATATATTAAGTTCGATTATGATTATTTCGATGAGTAACAAACGGTATGTTACTCATCGAAATAATCGTTGTATCGTTTGTTCTAATCACCCTAGAGTCAATACGAATAAAGATAGGAAGCTAAAATGTTGCACAGATCAGCCTTTGGATGTAGGCAGGTCAAGTTAAACGATGGGCTATATCGATCCACGGCATCGTATAGCCCCCATACAACTGTACCCCGATATTCGGTTTTTGATGATTTTTGCCACATTTTCCAATTAAATTGTCTGAAAATTCACACAAGGAGTTCTTTCCGAGTACTTTCCTCCTGGAAGATAATTGTTTATAAAGGTCCACAATATCGTACAGCCCCCATATAACGGTACCCACCGATATTCGGCATTTTGATGGTTTCAGCCACATTTTTTATTGGAATTGTCTAAAATCCATACTTGCAGTTCTTTTCAAGCACTTTACTTCCAGAAAGAGAAATGTCTGTATAGATCCCCGATATTCGATATTTCGACGATTTTAGTGACATTTTTCATTTTCCCGGAGTTGTTCCAAATTTCGTTCCTGGACTTCGTAATGGGTACTATAGCCTATGACAAAAATTATGTATGTAAGCCCACGTCTTTGTATAGCCTCCATACAACGGTACATCTCAATATTCCGCATTTTAATGATTTTTGCGACATTTCAAGATTCGTATTTAGACTTCGTAAAGGGAACTAAGTCTATAACAGAACATTTTCTATGCAGGTCCAATCCTTTGTATATGCCCCATATATCAGTACCTATATTATATTAAGTTTATCATTCCATTTGTAACACCTCAAAATACACCTTGTAGACCCCACAAAGTATATATATTCTTGATCAGCATAAAATTCTATGTCGATTTAGTGATCTTCGCCCGTCTGTCCGTCTGTGAAAATAACTCTAGCTTCCGAATGAATTGAAGTAGATTGATAAAATTTTGCTCAAATGTATGTTATGTCTGCAGGACTTTTGGTGTTGAAAATGGGCCATATAGCTCCACGTTTTTATAGCCCCCACATAACGGTACCTCCCGATATTCGGTATGTTAATGATTTTAGGGACATTTTTCACCAGAACTGTTAAAAATTTGATATTTGAAGTTCGTAATGGATACTACAGCCTACGACAGAAAATTGTCTGTACAAGTCCACGTCTTCGTATAGCCCCCATAAACCGGTACCTCCCGATATTCCGTATTTTGATTTTATCGGCATTTTAACCGTTTTTTTTAAGTTTCGCATTTGACAAATTTTACCTAAGCAGGTTCATGCCTTAGCATAGACCCTAATATAATAGCTACATTCGGTATTTTTAAAATTTTAATAGAATTTCGTATAGACCCCAATATATAGTTGTTATATTGGGGTCTATACGAAATTCTATTAAAATTTTAAAAATACCGAATGTAGCTATTATATCGATATTTTTAAGATTTTAACAACATTTATTAGTGGATGTTATTTTTTGAAAAGTTCCAAAGTTGTTCCAAATGGTGGAGGATATTCAAGGTTCGGCCCGGCCGAACTTACAGCTTTTTCGCTGGTATTATTGGTTTACACTCCGTCCAAGTTTTTTAGCAACATTTTTAATAAGTTCTAATGTTTACACATATAGTCACGTAAGTCCGTCATATATTGATTTATTGATATTTATACAAGGAGTATAAATCTATTTCATAAAAAAGGATTATTCTAAAATCAATTCTGACTACGACAGTGTCTACATCTATTTAGAAATTTATAAAATTTAAATATAACTGAAAACCACAAAACCGCAAATAGTTGCACAAAACCTCTGCTCATGAAAATATAAACATAAACAAATTGAAGCAAGGACAATCAGTTCAACAAAGACTTTGAAGGATATCGGACATAAAAACCTCATTTTTTACCTTACATTACGCTCCGTACTTCAATATGTTAATCGAGACCATTGAAGATGTACCGCTGTACAATAATTCATTGCGAATAATGAAATTTTGGTCATTTCTGCTGCGTCACGATTGGAGACGTTACTTGAGTTTGATTCCATACATCATCTTGACCACATCGCAGTTTGTGGATCTTTTCTTTAGTACCGAACCAATGGACGCGATTATAAGGAATGCCTATTTGGCAGTGCTATTTTTCAACACTACCCTGCGTGGTATTGCAGTGTGCATTCATCAAACGCGTTATGAAGATTTTTTGGAACGGATACGTGTCCTGTATATCGATATGATGGTAAGTGGGGGACACTTGATCATTTCCTACAATGAAATGGACTTTAGCGACACTCAAGGCATCCACATAATATTTATACCCTCAGCCATATGGCTACAGAGGGTATATATCATTTGATACGGCCAAAATGTGCCTCATCGAAATAACGGTTTTAGACCCTAGGTCTCTTTGGACCAAATCCGTTTCAGGACATTTGGAATCGATGTAGCGATGTTTGTCCGTCTGTCTGGCTGGCTGGCTGGCTGGCTGGTGCGTACGATAACTCTCGAAGGGAGTATCCGATTTGATCCAAAGTTGGTACATCGTAATATTATTGTCAAACTTAGATCGAGATCGGAGATGGCCGACACAAAATGTCAAAATTTTAAAAGAAATCCAATTTTGCTCCAACTTTGCGAATCCTAATTATTTCATCAGTGCTAGATCAGGTGCGAAAATGGACAATATCGGCTCACTCCATCAAGTGCCTTCCCCACAAAGGGTCAACATTTTGAATAATTACAACTCTTATAAAATGTGATGTAAGAATTCGGTTGTCTTAAAATTTCACACATCACAATATTTTTATAAACTCAAGATCTGGTGCTAAGATGGAATATATCGGTCCACTCCATCTGGTACATCCCCCAAAAAAGGTCGAAATTTTGAATATCCATTATCCTAATAAAACGCAAAATTAACATCTGATTCCATTCAGACTTGGCACATCTGAATATTTCCATCAACACAGGATCTATTATAAAAACGGTAGAGATCGGACCATTACTTCTGGTACCTCCCCTACAAAGGGTCAAAGTTTTGAATAACCAAAACGTTTATAACATCCGAAATAAGCACCAAGTTCTCTTTATATTTGACACATTCCATTATTTCTGCTAACAAAATATCGGTTGTGAAGATGGGATCTATCGGTCCACTCCTGCTGGTACCTCCTCCACAAAGGGTCAAAATTTTGAATATCCATGGAGCTGATAAAACGTAAAATTAGCATCCGCTTCTATTCAGACTTTACATATCTCAATATTTCCATCAACACAAGACCTGTTATAAAGATGGTAGAGATCGGATCATTTCTTCTGGTACCTCCCCACATAGGTTTCATGATTTTGAGAAACCAAACGCTCAAAGTAAGCCAAATAAACATTCAATTCTCTTCAAATTTCACACATACAAACATTTTTGCTAACACCAGATCTGTTGTGAGGATGATATATAGCTACGAACGTGTTCTGGTCAACGTTTGAATAACGCTGGGGGTATACATCTGTCGGCATAACCAATACTATTTTACTTGTTGATTATATATTTCAGCAATCCGAAGACCAATGGGTCCGACAAGAATTACAAACTATTACATTGGCCGCCAATAACATTTCCAGAGTCAATTTGGTTATGGGCACTTGTTCGGTCATAAGTTTTTTAATCTATCCAATATTTGCCACCACCAAAGGTAAGCAATAATTAAAATTAAAAAAAAAAATAAATAAATAAAAAATCTCTAAAATTGTGATTTTTAGTTTTACCCTTTGGCATCTACGTACCTGGCGTAGACAAGAATATTTCCCCCTACTATGAAATATGTTTCATAGTACAAACCGTAATGGCGCCCATTGGTTGTTGTATGTTCATACCATTTACCAATATGATTGTGGCCATAATGCTGTTCGCCATTTTAATGTGTAGGCGAATGCAGAGGAAATTGCGTCACCTGTGTCAGGTTACATCCGAAGAGGCCAGAGCCACAATTATTTGGTGTATTAAATATCAAACAGAGTTGATAAGGTGAGATGTGTGACGTATTGGAAGAGAATAATGGAATCTTAAGAGAGTGGGTGCTTTTTTCAGATATGTTAATACCATCAATGATTTGATTACCTATACAAATTTGTTGGAGTTTCTGGCCTTTGGTGCCATGCTTTGTGCCATGATGTTTACATTGGTCACGGTAAGTTAAGGAAAGCCTAATTTCCAACCATCAAATATTATTTTATTTTCTTATTTTTTTTTTTATTTTAGGTTGAGACAGTCAGTCAAATGTGTTTGATTTGTGTTTATATCCTCATGATTTTTGCCCAGAGCACCATTCTGTATTATTACGCCAATAAGGTATTCGATGAAAGTTTAAATGTTGGAACAGCTGCTTATGAGAGCGAATGGTTTGATGTGGATGTTGATACACAGAGAACTTTACGATTATTGATACTGAGAGCCCAGAAACCATGTGCGGTAAGGAATTTAAAATTTGGTTTTTTAGGGAAGATAAAAGTTTCGATGTTTGACTTGACCATAGTATAACCTGATCTTAGTTTATATGCCAGTAAGTTGGACATATTTTTGAAGTTAAGCAAAACAATTAACGGACAAATTGGACCAATTCGCGACAGACACTTTTATTTACCATATTACTCGGTGGAATCTCTCCGATCAGTAGCCGTCACATAAAATTCCATAAAAATCAATCGTAAAGAGGCCACCTTATAATGCCCGAGTTTGAAGGTCCAAGAAAAGGCTTAATAGTACTTCTTAGGGGGATAGGGGAATTTCTTAAAAATGTATGTTGAAAAGCATAGCTATATTAATTAATATATCCACGTTTTTAGGTCTCTGAACCGCATTTGGAGACCTTGGATTTAAAAAAAATAGTTTGGAGGATTAAGAAAACGCTTTAAAATCCACATATTGAGACCTAGGAAAATTATTTAAAAATCTATGTTTGTGTGTCCAGCAAAGTCTGTAAAAATCCTAGTTTGGAGTTTTAGGTAAAAGGTTTGAAAAGCTATGTTTAAAGCTCTAGATTTTCTTCAGTTCGAACCTAAATTCTTAAAAATGCAGAATTTGGCTTTATAAAATTTAAAAAAAATCCTTGTTTTGAGGCCTAGGAAAATTCTTAAATAACCCTAAGAAAAGAAAATTCTTAAAAAAATCAACATTAAAATTCCGGGAAACTCCTCAAAAGAGCGTCTAAGAAAAATCTTTGAGCTTCAGGTATAGAAGAACGGAAAATTAAAAAAACAAAAACAACTTAAAAAGCTGTAAGTTCGGTCGGGCCGAACTTTTAATACCCTCCACCAATTTTCAAAAAAAAAACCGTTAAAAATTCTGTTAAAATCTAAAAAATGCCTGTATGTTAGGGTCTATACGACGACGTGGACCTGCATAGGCACCTATATTCAAATGCGGAACTTTACAAAAAAAAAATCGGGGAATAAATTAGCTAAAATCATCTAAACACAGAATACAGGGAGATACCATTATATGTTGGCTATACCAAAACGTGGACCTGCACAGAAAAATTTCTGATATAGGCTGTAGTATCCATTACGAACTTCAAATACCAAATTTGAAACAATTTCGGCGAATAATGTCGCTAAAATTATCGAAGTACCGAATATCGGGAGGTACCGTTATATGGGACCTATACGAAGACGTGGACCTGCACACACAATTTTCTGTCATAGGCTGTAGTATCTACTACGAAACTTAAATACCAAATTGGAAACAATTCCGGTGAAAAATATCGCTAAAATCGTCAAAATGCGGAATATGGGAGGGGGTGGGTACCGTTATATTGGGGCTATATCAATAACAAAAGTCCTGCAGACATAATACACATTTTAGTAAAATTTAATCAACCTACTTCATTTCGTTCGGAAGCTAGAGTAATTTCCACAGACAGACAGACAGACGGACATCCGTAAATCGACATCGAATTTTATGCTGATCAAGAATATATATACTTTGTGGGGTCTAAAATTTATATTTCGAGGTGTTACAAATGGAATGACATACTTAATATACCCTCCATACTATGGTGGAGGGTATACAACTACAATTAGAGAAACGAATAACAAATAAAAATTTGAAAAATCCAAAATTTTTGTTTTAAAATTGTATAACATAGACCTTCCCAAAAAAGTGTATATAACGGTTTAAATCACTTAACATTGGTAACTATGTTGTTATGATATCGTAACAAGTGTCCTGCTCGAGTGCATTCCAAAGAGGGGAACAACAATAGACAAGTGGTCATAAGACCCATGAATTATTGTACTGTAACCAAAGACCGAATGTAAAGAAGTGTAAAGATAGGACAAGACAAAGTCAAAATATGGCAGCCTTGTGAAAATACCTCTGTTGTTACGATATCATAACAACATAGTTACCAATGTTAACAGATTTCAACCGCTAGGGCAACATGGAATTTTTTGGAAAGGTCTAAAGCATAGAATTTAGAATCCAAAATTTTCCAATTTTCAAATTTTTATTTATTGTTCGTTTCTGTAATTGTGGTTTTTTATTAAAATGTTTTTTGTTCTTTGACCGTAACTGCCCAGACAAGTTTTTTTCTTCCGGCTACAAGCACTGACTAGGATGGAGTTGCGTTAATAGTAAAATTAAATTATTGTGAAATCATATTCTCTAAAAATTGTTAAAATTTGGTTATCGATTAGGCCATTCAAAATATCTAAAATGTTGAGACTACGGCTATTTCTGAAAAATGTATTCAAGGGCTTATAAAAGTCAAAATGTGGACATATTCTAAAATAATTCTGTGAGGTGAAACTTCAAACAATATAACCAAATGGCATGTCTCCATTGGAATCTGAACACCTTCGTTCGCTCTCAGATTTATGTACACGAACTAACCCGTTCACACCGCATCATGGGCCATTCATAGTAACATGGTTCATAAATTCTTATTTTTATACCCTCAGCCATATGGCTCACATGGCAACAAAGGGGATACATAATTATACCCTACACCACATAGTGGTAAGGGTGTTATGTCTTTGTGCATCTGTGTGTAACATGGATAAGGAAACGAGATAGACCCATAGTTCCTTTTGGTGATCAGCATAGAATCACATTTTGAGTCGATTTATGCATGTCCGTCCGACCGTCCGTCTGCCATGTATTTTTGTAAGCAAAATGCAGGTCGCATTTATTATTCGATTGAGATGAAATTTTCTATATAACATTTGTTTGGCTCAAAGACGAACCCTATTGAAATTGGTGAAAATCGGTCCAAATTTAGATATAGCTCCCACCAAAAATCTTCATCAGATTTAAGATTTTTTGTGCAACAAATGGCTAATATCAGTCCAAATGGTGTTAATTTTGGCACTTCCGACTGAATTCAGTATAGAAATAAGTACTTTAAATTTGGTGGAAATCGATGCAGATATAGCTATAGCTCCCATATATACGTTTCATTCGATTTGGTGTTTAAGTCCCTCATATTCGTAATATACACCCCACAAAAATGATATTTAGTACCAGATATTAGGTTCAGCCCAGCAATACATGATTCAAATTTTATCAAGATCGGTTCAGATTTGGATATAGCCCCCCATATATCTTCGTACGATTTTAGGTTTCTTTGCACCAAATGGCTAATTTCAAAGCGAGGGAAAAGTTGCACTTCTGAGCGAATTCATTCTGGAAACTAACATTTAAAACTTGGTGAAAATCGGTTCAGATATAGCTGTAGTTCCATAAATATGTTTCATCCGATTTCATGTTTAAATCTCCAACTTTCGGAATATGCACACTACCATAATCATATCTTGTACCAGATATCTCATTTAGCTTAGAAATGCCCGATATAAACCTTTCTTTTACGAGAGCTCTATTAAATATGCATTGTGATGTAGGTTATCCTTACTGGTTTTGTACTGCCAAAATGTGCCTCATTGAAATAAAGGTTTTAGATCCTGGGTCTCTTTGAACCATTTCAGGACATTTGGAGTCGATTTAGCAATGTCCGTTCGTCCGTCTGACTGTATGGCTGGTAGGTGCCCACGATAACTCTCGAAAGGAGTATCCGATTTGGTCCAAACTTGGTACATCGTAATATTATTATAAAACTTGTAGATGAGCAATATCGTTCCACTCCTTTTGTTACCTCCTCCACAAAATATCGAAATATATATATTTTTTTCTACATAAAAATAGAAAGTATAATCTGATTTTGCTCGAACTTTGCAAATCCTAATTCATCAGTACTATGTCATGTGCGAAAATAAACAATGTCGCTTCACTCCAACATTTTAATGAAAAATGAACCTCACACAAAGGGTCAAAATGTTCAATAATAATAACTCTTATAAAACGCGATGTAAGTGTCCGATTGTCCTCAAATCACACACATTTCAATATTTTTAATAACCGAAGGTTTTCTGGTACTTCCCCTACAACGAGTTAAAATATTGAATATCCATGAAACTCCGATGCCATTCAAACTTCTCATATCTTAGTATATCTATCAAAACGACATCTGTTAGAAAGATTGCAGAGATCGGACCATTCATGCTTGTACCGCCCCCACATAGGATCAACGTTTTGAATAACTAAAACGATTATAAAATCCAAAATACCCATGCGGTTCTCTTCATATATAACACATCTAATTATTTCTATTAACACATATTCTGCTTTGAAGTTGGGATATTTCGTCTACTCCTTCTGATACCTCCCCCACGAAGTGTCAACATTTTGAATATCCATGAAGCTCATAAAACGCGAAACTAATATCCGATTCCATTCAGACTTGGTCCTTTACAATATTTCCATCAACACAAGACTTGTTATAAAGATGGTCGAGATCAATTAACAGTTAAAATTGTGGCTAAAGCGGTACAGTTATTGAGGGCTATACCAAAAATTGGACCTACTTGTCCCATTTTCAAAACTAAAAGTCCTGAAGACCTAAAATTATTTCGTTCGGAAGCTAGTTTTATTTCCACAGCCAATCAGACGGACTGACATGGGCACGGAATTTTATGATAATCAAGAATATATGTACTTTGAGGAGTCTAAAATTTATATTTCAAGGTGTCACAAACGAATGAAAAACTCCAAATATTGTGGAGAGTACTCGTATTAAATAATAGTAAAAGCTACGATTGAATTTTTGGAAATTGAGTATCGGTTGAAAATGGTCGCTAACATCCCGAAGGTCAAGAAAACTTCCTACGAGTACTTGAATGTCCGTTCTGCATTCTTTTCAAACATGTCACACCTAATACATTAAAATTTCGTTATTTGGAAGTTCTAGCATAATTTCTTACCCAATAGGATGTAGTTTAGAATTTTTGGTTTCTTACGGGGCAGAAACATGGTACAAAACAATTATAGACATAAGCTGACCTTGTTTACTTCATTTCCTTTCTTAATTTTAATGTCTTTTTGTTTTTCTCATTTCAGATACTGGTTGGCCGTGTTTATCCGATGAACTTGGAACTGCTGCAATCATTGCTCAACACAACTTATACTTATTTTACCCTATTGCGGAATGTTTATGATTAAATGGTTTGTTAAATTAAATGCATTATAATGATGTATTCTACAGGGATCTTAATATTCGGTAAAGTCCTCGAAGATATTACGTTCGGCGACGGTGGTTGCAAAATATTTAAAATGTTTTCTACGGTGTCGGTGTGGATTGCAAAAGCAACTCTATTGTTAAGAAAAATTTTCTGCATCGCCTTCATGAAGCTAAATTTCGAATTAAAGATGTCTATCAACGATCAGCTGCAATGCTACACCTTACTGTCAACTTCAAAATTTTCTTATAATTTATATTTTTAGACAGAGTTTTAGTCAGAAAACCTTATGTATTACATTTAAACTCATTTCTAATATAATTTATAATCAACTCAACTGTATTTTTATGGAAAAACGAGGTAATAACAAGTAAAATCTCCCAGCCCCCAAGATAAATCCACCAAAGGCAGGGGGCCTTATTTCGGATTTTATGATCGTCTTGGTTATTCAAAATGTTGACCCTCTGTGGGGAAGGTACCAAAGAAATGGTGGGATTATAGCAAATCTTGTGTTGATAGAAATATTGAGATTTGTCGAGTCTGAATGGAATCGGATAAAAATGTCGTGTTTTATGAGCTTCATGAATATTCAAAATTTTGAACCTTTGTGGGGAGGTACTTAATGGAGTGGACCGATATTGTTCATTTTCTCACCTGACCTAGAACTGATGCAAATATTAGAAATTGCAAAGTTGGTGCAAAATCGGGTTATCCTTTTTCTGTCTGGTTTGACGATATATCTGGATGATATGCGCTTTAACTCTCCAAGGGGATTTACTTGACTGCTAACAGAGGGTTAACATTTTGAAGAACCATACACGTGGAAATCGGTGCCTTGTCATAATCCCCACGAAAAAAAATTCCATTACAATTATGGGAATTATGACCGTTATTTTCTCAGCCTTAACCACCATAAAAATGGGGATTACGTAAAAAAAATCGGTCGTAATCCTCAGAAAGTAGTGGTCTTTATTCCCATAAAAATAAGAGGGGTTATTTTTCAAAAACGCAACACTCTTGCCTTTCCAATATGGTGCCATATGTGCTGATATCTCTTGTAATTCTGAAGATATTAATCATGATTTTCTCCACTGATATCTGTCTCATTTCTAAAGCTTTTTTAAGTTGGCGGCCTTCAGTCGGGCCTCCACATTTTCTCCTATAGGGCATGCCCAAACACCGGGTATGCGTTCCATAGGGAATTATGACCCACTCCATAGTTACAATAGGAATTATGTCCGGGCATCTGAAAAAACACATTCTTGTATGTTTCCCAATATTTACAATACGTACAGGTGTCCTGGCAGCACCACATATGTTAAAAAACACTTTTAATACCCTTCACCTTAGGGTTATGAAAAACTAGAACCAATTATGACCCACAAATACAAATTTTTAGACATATTCGTTGGAAAATGTGGCAAAAATCATCAAAATACCGAATATCGAGAGGTACCGCTATATAGGGCTATACAAAAACGTGGGCCTATACATAAAATATTTCGTCAACGGAGCTAGAACTTATTATGACCGACAAATTCCAATTTTTAGACAACTCCATAAAAAAATATGACAAAAATCATCAAAATACCGAATATCGGATTGTACAGTTATATGGAGACTATACCAAAACGAGGACCGATTTATCTCATTTTCAATACCAACCATCCTAGACACCATACAAATTATTCTGCTGAATTTTGGCGCTCTATGTCAAGTAATGTGGGCTGTATCGTGATTTCAACAGACGGACAGACAGACAGACGGACATAGCTAAATCGTCTTAGAATTTCATGCTGATTATGAATATATATACAATATGGGGTCAATGACGAATATTTAGGGATGTTACAAACGGAATGACAAAGTTAATATAGAAGGTGGAGGGTATAATAACATGTATTGTTACGTACTTCGTAGGTTCTCCCTGAGCTCTGATTTCTTCGACAGTATGTTTTAAACAATTCTCCTTTCAATCAGTCACATACATATCGTGCAGAACTGCCTTCGTAGCACTCTCCGATGGTATCTTACATCCAAAGAAAAGAAGGAATGAAATTGAAATTTTAATAATAAATAACCCTCGAAAATGAAATCGCAAAACATGGCCACAATTGGCAAAAAAAGTATATTATGCGATTAATTCCAACGAACACAATTACATTTAAATTACAATCATTTATTTATTCCCGAAGGAAATAAATTGAAAATAATGTTTGAAGTCAGGGAATGAGATGAAAAATACATATGTATGTGATATAATTCACAGCAACACTAATATTAAGATATAAATTTAAAACAATCAGAATTAAATATTTTAAATATAAAGATAGAGAGAGAGAGAAAGTGCTGGGTAGGAGAAAGAAAACTAATATAAATAATAATAATTAACTATTATAATTAACCGGTGGCGAAAATTATGCCTTGTCGTTCGCCTGAAAGTATGCTAGTGTTGATGTCTAGGATAGAGAGATGTAGAGTGTTTTAGATATGCATACTAAATGTTACTAAATTTGGTATTGGGTAAAGAAATAGACCTGAAATTCTAATATATGATATTGAAATGGTTTTGGACAGAAAAATATTCTCCATGATGAACTTCTAAACTTCTATTTTGCAATTAACATGTACAAGTAAATAGGAAAAGCTTGAATAATATATAAAAAATTGAAAATGCGAAAATTTACTACGATGTATGAAGTTTAGATTAAACTAAGACCGGCCGAACTTTGAATACCCTCCACCATGTTAAAAACACCGAATACAGCCATTAAATTGGGGTCTACTCGGAGACGTGAGCCTGCATAGGCAACTTTTGTCATAGGCGTTACAATATTCAAATACGAAATACCGCATATAGGAAGACACCGATATGTACAGAAGAATTTTCTGTCACAGCCTTTAGTACCCATTACGAACTCAAGATACGAAACTTGAAAGGATTCCGGTGAATAGTGTCGCTAAAATAATCAAAATACCGAATATCGGGAGAACCGTTATATGGGGGCTATATGATGTCGTAGACCAATATATCCCATCTTCTAACTTGAACTGCCTGCATACAAAAGACTGATCTGTGCTAAATTTTAGCTTCCCATCTTAATTCATTTGGACTCTAGCGTGATTCCAACGGACGGATCGTAGAATTTTACGCTGATCAAGAATATATATAGTTTGTTGGGTCTAAAGTTATTATTTCGATGAGTTACAAACGGAATGACGAACTTAAGATACTATGTATGGTGGAGGGTATAAAATGTTGTTAAACTGAACAATTGATGAATTTTGAGTACTAAAAAGGCCTAACACGAACTGTTGGAATCTAAAATATTTAGATGGAATTTCCGCTGACGAAGTAGCGGGCAGTTGCTAGTATATATTAGGAACACATTTTATGGTTAAAGCCGTATTTTATTTGGCTTCATGCAATAGTGTCCTATAAATCATAACCTAAGAACGATGAAGTCAAAGACGGAAATATTCTGCATCAAATTTCACTATAAGTCACCAAGGAAAGGAAATCAGAATTTCCATTGTACATCAAAAAAATATGCTTCAATGTTCCCAAAAATACCCGAAATATTTTCTAATTTTTTTTTCTAATGCTAAAATTCTGCACAAGTTCATGAATTGTTTATATTATTTTAGTGCTTTATAAATTCAATAAATTGCTATGTTATGGCACACTTCATGTAAAAGAACTGTAACTCTTTGGATTCTACAGATACCAAAATGTAATTTTGATAGTATTATAAAGTAAGATTCGTAAAAAATCGATAACATGAGTTATCCCCCACTTTAAGTAAATGAGCGTCATAACTTCTCTGTATCCATTTAAATATTCTACCAACGTTTTCTATTAATCTACTGGCCGCCATACATTGCCCTTGAAAGTCTGCGTGAATCTTTGTGTGTTGGCAGATAAGTTAATTCCGATTTCAAGGCGATTTAGTAACACCAAATAAATTCGTAAGAAAAAAGAAATATTAGCAAAGAAATAAAACACATGGGTGTTTAATTAAAGTATCAAAATAAGTTAATGGCAATTATAGAAACAAAGGGCGTATTAAGCATTGCTAGAATAAGAAACGTCTGAAAGTAGCAATTAATATTAATTGCATTATTTGGACCAGACTTTCTGTGAAATATGGCCAAATAAATATAAATGATTAAAAAGAGGAGAGCTGGGATTCTATCTATTGTGGATTATAACATGTAAAAAAATATTAGGTCAGTAGCACAGATTTAATGAAGTGTCGTTGGTTTTTTTTTTGGCTTTTTTGAAATTTCAAATGTTATACGTTTTATATTCTTTAGCATTATATGTTGTGAATGTTTACGTTAGGAGAAAACCTATTCCCCCTTTCTAAAGATGTTTTAAATATTCCAATTAAGTTGTCTTTCTAACCTTGTTGGCAGCAATATTACAAATGAAAACTAGTAAAGAAAGGACAAAAATCGGGCAGGCCGACAATATGATATCCCACATCACTATGTGTACATGGTTGACATTTCCGTAACGTAATAAAATAAACGTTTATATATTGGGAATTTATGTTGTTGTAGCTGATTAAACTTCTAACGCCAAATTCAAGAAGGACGTAACCTGTATGGGTTGACTCCACAACGATATCGGAGTTAGATTCATCTAACCCTAATTGGCAGAGCAATGAAAGGGGTATATCGTGGGCCTGTGCCAAATGCTGGTCAGGTGTTCGGCACACTGCTGTTAGTCCGGACCCAAAACAAATCCGGATTTTAATTGTAGTAAAACTACTTAGTTTGTCGCGACAGCTTTCTCACTTCAGCTGCGATGGGAAGGGGATGGCCTACATGACATCTGTGAGCACGTTAGGGTGAATACCGTTCAGTCTTGCTCGATAACCCTGTTGATCTAGAGGATGAATCTTCTACCCCTCTGCTTCTCTCTAGATCATTAAGGTCTTTCCTCACGTGCCTAGGCGGAGGATGCCCATCCACCAGATGGAATGGCTCTGTTTATAACACCCAAACAGC